TAATTCCATCTTTAGGTCTTTACCCAAAGGAAAGAAAAACCTTTGGTCAAAAAAACACTTGCACACTCACATTTATTGCAGCATTATTTGTAATTGTTAGGACATGGAATCAATCCAAATGTCCAAAAATAGATGATGGGATTGAAAAATGTGGCATACACACTCTATGGAATACTACTAAGACATAAAAAAAAAAAAAAATGAGCCCCTGACATTTGATACATAGGGGACCAATATGGAAGAATGGTTGGTATGTGGGAAAGTAAGAACAGGGGTAATATGGGGTGGTAATGTGTATGTGGGAAAGTGGGAAAGTAAGAACAGGGGTAATATGGGGTGGTAATGGAAGGAGGGAAGGGAACAGGGGAGGGAAAAAAAAGTACATTTAATTCACAAACAAAAAAATGAAAAGCTATTTGCTGAAGATAATGTATATAGTAATATCTTCATCTAAAACTGATATGGTATTCATGCTGGAAAAAGCAATGTTGTACACTGTAAAGGTAATTGTGATTAAATGTAAAATAAAATAAAACTATTAAAAAATTAATTGGCCAGGGCCAGCAGAAGGAGTAGAGATTCAGGTGGCTAGATCCCACATGGTTGTGCAGTTCAAGACCTGGACCCAGAAGCTTGAAAAACACACCTTGTACATGTGCGTGTGTACCCAAAATCTGGAGAGGAGAATAAAAGAGGAGGGATTTCAGTGTGGCCATCCTCCCTGGAGAGTGATTTCTCTCTCTCTCTCTCTCTCTCTGCCTCTTTCCATGAGCACACACACCCTATAGCAAACAAATCATAACAAAAAAATTAGTGGACCAGGGGCCAGCAGGTACCTGGGAGGTTAAGGCAGCTGGATCCCACATGGCTGACTGAGTACTTAGAGTCTTGAACTGTTGCTTGAAAAACTCATAGGCAGGGAACCAGCAGTTAGCATAATGGCTATGTCACTGGACTCCCATGTAGTCAACCGCGGATTGAGTCCTGGGCCCGGTGGCTTAAACTCACTCCAGGCACATGTGCATGCGTGCCCAAGATCCCAAGAGGAGAACGGAGGAGAAGGGATTGCAGCATGGCCAACACCCTGGGGGGTGATTTCTTGCTTTCTGTCTCTCTGTCTCTCTCTGTCTTTCTGGCGAGCACATGCACCCTATAGCAAAAACCTCTCCAAGAAAAAAGAAAAACACACAGGGAATGTGTGTGTGTGTGGGTGTGTTTGTGTGTGCGTGTGTGCGTGTGCGTGCGTGAATGCATGCACATCCCCAAAATCCCGAGAGGAGAATGAAGGAGAAGAAATGCAGTATGGGCATCCTCCTCCGTGGAGTGATTTCTCACTCCCCTTCCTCTGTCTTTCTTCAGCAAGCACATACACCCCTACAGCAAAAACAAATCATACACACACACAAACTCAAAAAAATAATTAATGGGCCAGCTCTATGGCCTGGCGGTTGAGGCAGACAGATCCATATGGTCAACCATGTAGCTGGAATCTCAGTCCCAGTGGTTTAAAAAAACACGTAGGGGTGGAGACAATAGGTGGGGGTGGGGCAGCCAATATGTGGCATAGTGGATACAGCGCAGGACTCCCACATGGGCAACCACAGTTCGAGTCCCAGATCCGGGGGCTTGAAACACTCTGGATATGTGTGCATGTGTGCCCAAAATCCCAAGAGGAGAATAGAGAAGAGATTGTAGCATGGCCATTCTTCCTGGAGGGTTATTTCTCACTTTTCTTCTCACTGTCTGTCTCTCCAGCTAGCACACACACCCTATGGCAAAAATCTTTTTAAAAAATTAAATTAAAGGGGCCAGCAAGTGGCATGGTGGTTAAGGGTGCTGGACTCCCACATGGCTGACCACGGTTCAAGTCTCGGACCTGGTGGCTTGCTTTCTCACTTCCTCTCTCTCTCTCTCTCTCTCTCTGATCAGACTGGAAAATAACAATGATAATAATAATAAATAAAGTTAAATTTTAATTAAATTAAAAAAATTTTGCATCATTTTCCATCCCAGCACTGAGTTTGACCTCATCTTCGTTTAAAACTGTTTAATCAAAAAATAATAACTATAGGGGCTGGCAGGTGGCGTGGTGGCTAAGGTTAAGGACGGTTAAGGTGGTTAAGGACACTGGACTCCCACTTGGTTTGAAACCCGGACCTGGCGGCTTACTTTCTCACTTCCCCTCTCTCTCTCTTTCACTCTGTCCCTCTCTAGTCAAATTAAAAACAAATGGATAAACAAAGTTAAATAAAATAATTCTGGGGAAAAATAATAGTAATTGCAAATATTTAGGGGGATAAAATGCAATGTTTTGATATATGTGTACATTCTTGGCCTCATCTTCTACTGACTACTCTATTTTTTTTTTTTTTTTGGCTTTAGGGCACATGGACTCGCCAGACAGAGAGAGACAGAGAGACAGAAAGCGGCGAGAAATCACCCCCCAGGGGGATGGCCATACCGCAATCCCTTCTCCTCCATTCTCCTCTCGGGATCTTGGGCACGTACGCACACGCACCCGGCGTGAGTTTTAAGCCACCGGGTCCGGGACACGAACCATGGTCGACTACATGGGAGTCCAGCGACATAGCCATTACGCTAACTGCTGGTCCCGACAACTCTACTCTAAATGTCAGGATAGTCGCTGACTCTGAAGAAATAATCTGCACAATTCAGTTCAAGCAGAGGCAGCAAAACTTGTTTGTAAGCTCTAAAAGGTTTTGGTGAGGGGCCAGCCCTGGAGCCTGGTGGCTAAGGGAGCTGGATTCTGTTCATACATGGTGCAGTGTGCATCCCGGCCCAGCTGGCTTGAAAAACATTTATGTGGCCCAAATCCCAACAGGATGAAGAGACTGAGACGGGACTGCAGCATGACCATCCCCCACGGGGGTGCTCGCCACCATCCCTCTCTCTCTGGTGACCACATGTACCTCTGGTAGTTCACTTAAAAATTAGAAAAAGAATTTAGTGAGCATCAAGAGCCTAGATCTGCGAGGTTCTACTCTGTTGCTTCACCTCCCTTGCATCTTCTCCGGCTGCCGAGACAGCGTCACTCCTGAGAGCAGCAGCTACTTAGCGTCAGGCTTTAAAACATCGAAGTCACAGGGGCCAGCAGGTGGCGTGGAGGTTAAGGGCACTAGACTTCCACATGGCTGACCTCAGTTTGAGTCCTGGACCTCGTGCTTGCTTTCTCACTTTCCTTCTCCCTCTCTCCCTCTCTGGGAAATTAAAATAAGTAAGTAAATAAAGCTGAATAAAATAATTTTAAAAAAATATCGAAGTCACTGAGAGAGGCAAGGTCACTGTTCCTGGAGAAGTGATTAACCGGTGTCTAACTCGTCTTCCTGCCCACTGGAGAGGTTAGTGGTGTCGACTAGCTCAGCATTAACGGGCTCAGATTCACATGGACCTGAGGGCTGAGGGAGGCCCAGTTCTCCTCCGAGGAACTTACCCATGTTCCCATCACCTTCCAGAAGGTTCCGGCTGCGTGAGAGTCAGAGGGAGTGGCTGGAGACACTGGTTGAGTGAAGTGCATTTTTTCAGAAAAACAGGTAGAAGACATTGAGGTTCCCCAATTTTCAGAACTGCAAAAAGCAGCCTTGCGTGCTGGCCTGCAGACCGGTGACGATGAGCAGGACAGGGTCGTAAGGCCCAGAGCTGGAGGGGTCCCTACTCCCACATGCAAATGTCACTTTTTGGAAATGCCGTATTTGGACACTTAATAAAATGGCATATTAGCAAATACCACATTGAGCAGGTGTTATATTTAGACACAGTATTAGTCAGTGTTCTTAAAAAAAAAAAAAAAAAAAAAAAACAAATAACAGAACCAATAGAGAATGTATTATTACAGGAATCAGCACACGCAGTTACGGAGGCTGCAGAGTCCCACACTGGCCACCATTGAACTGGAGGCCCAGGAAGGCCTGTGGTTTACTCAGTCGGAGTGCAACCCTGCGAACAGGGGAGCTTGTGGGCTAACTCCCAGTCCTCGTCCAAAGGCCTGAGACCTGCGGGGCCCTGCGGGGAGCAGGGTCAGCCCCACAGTTTGAACTCCAGGTGTGAGGGCAGGAGGTGGGTGTCTCAACTCAGGAGCAGAGGACACGCCTGTCCTTCCTCTGCCTTCCCGTCCTATCCGGGACCTCAAAAGACTGGATGACGCACGCCCACCCACCCACACCGCTGCAGGCTTCTTTACTCAGTCTGTCGGTTAAATGCGAATCTCTTTCTGAAAACCCCTCCCAGACACTCCCAGAAATACAGTCTTTTTCTTTTCTTTTCTTTTGGAGAGGTTTTTGCTACAGGGCGTGTGCGCTCGCCAGAAAGACAGAGGCAGAGAGACAGAAAGCGAGAAATCACCCCCCAGAGGGGATGGACACGCTGCAATCCCTTCTCCTCCATTCTCCTCTCGGGATCTTGGGCACACATGCACGTGCACGTGCACCCGGTGTGAGTTCCACTGGGTCCGGGACTCAAACTGCAGTCGACTACATGGGAGTCCAGCGACATAGCCATTACGCTAACTGCTGGTCCCTCCCAGAAATACAGTCTTACCAGTTATCTGGGCATCTCTTTTTTTCCTTCTTTAAATTTGCTGGGGGGGGCATGCGCGCCCCGAAGAGACAGAGAGAGGAAAAGCAAGAAAGTCTCTGTAGGGAATGGTCCTGCGCATTCCTTTCCTCTCCATTTCTCCCTTCTTTGGGGACTCTGGGCACACACATGTGCCTGGCATGTTTTCCAAGCCACTGGGTCTGAGACTTGAACCACACTCTCAGTCATATGGGATGCAGCCCATTTGACCACCAAGCCATGGGCTGACCCACTATTATCTTATCATTTTGATGGTATGTATTGGGTTGTCGGGAAAATCATGATGTATTTTTCTGGTTTTCTATGCAAAAAAATCCTTGACTTTTCCAAGGATCCATAGAGTAGATGCAGTCTGATGTCCAGACAGTTGAATTTACATCACAGTAACTAACAAATGCTACCCTCAACAGATCAACAGATGCAGACCTGTGGACCCCGGGCATCCACAGCAGCGGGGAAGTTGCTCCAGGCTCCGGCACAGGGTCTTGGCCACTCTTTGACCTGAGGATGACGGCCAGGCTCTGGGGTGGCCTCGGCCTGCTGCGCGTGCTGTGGTGCCTCCTTCCGCAGACAGGCTACGTGCACCCGGATGAGTTCTTCCAGTCCCCTGAGGTCATGGCAGGTAAAGCCCCCACCTGTGCTAAGATCCGCTGCAGCAGGGTCTGGGGGAGGACTGCCTGGATACTTAAAGTGGGGAGGAGCCTGTCTGTGCAGGTGAGCGGTAAATCACAGCAAAGGAGCAGCCTCTGCGGGACGAGAACCCGGGAGTGGGGACTTCACCTCTCCACCCAGAATGGTGATGCTGGCCTTCTGGGGGATACTAATAAAACACTAGTCATTTTGATGTTTTTCTGCGTGGACCAACAGTCCGGTCATTCAAAATGAGAACTGTGTTGGGCCTGTCAGTGGGACAGTTTTAGAGCTGAGCTTTCCCAGTGACTGGGGAAGCTTACAGAGAGCTTGGAGATGCAACAATGCGATTTCTTCTTCTGTAGATTCAAGTGCAGGGTGAGGGAACTCAGATGTGGGACACTGGCTTGTGGGAACTTATCTCCTCCGTGGTGTAGAACACATCATGAAGATGGTTGCCAAGAGCTCTGAGGGTTTTTAGATGCCGTGGGCATATGGTTTCCTCCTCGTGGTTCAAAATGGCCACTTGAGCACCAGCCAGCAAGTCTAAAACCAAATCTTTTCAGCCAACGGAGAAGATGGGTACGCCCACTCTCAATAAGGTCCTATTTCGAAAATCATGTACTTTTCGCTCATCTCCATCACACTGGCCAGAGTGTATCACATGAGCACACCTGCCCGGCAAGGGGGGCTGAGAAATGTCACCTTTATATCTGACCAGCTGTCAGTTAAGTAAGACTAAGCAGGGAGAGTAGACACTGGGGAGACATCCATCTATCTCTGCCATAGGGCTCAATAGGTAGATTCGTTTTGTAAGTTAACAATTCAGTCTTTTCCCACTTTTTTTAAAGAATTATTTTATTTTTAACTTTATTTATCATTATTATTATTATTCTCCACTTTGATCAGAGCGAGACAGAGAGGGAAACTGAGAAAGCCAGCCACCAGGTCCAGGACTCAAACTGCTATTGGCCACGTGGGAGTCCAGTGCCTTTAACCACCAAGCCACCTGCCAGCCCCCATTCACACACGTTTTTTAAACGAGCCAGTGAAAAGCAGCCCGACGGAATGGATCCCAGATCTTCAGTCCCCTGCCCGCTTCCGGCACAGACAAAATGACAACGCTAGAGGAATAAGTAGCAAAAACAAAGAGCCCGAGTAACTCCCCAGGCCACACTGCCGGCCCGAAGTGACCAAGGGGTTACCAAGCATGATGTGCTGTGGACAGTGGGCTGAGAGGAGGTACAAAACAGTCTGTCACCTGAGCCCCACCACAGTTCAGGGACATGGGGACACTGGCTCACAGGTAAGCCCCAGGTGGAAGGTTGGTTTGTTTTTTTCCAAACTTATATAAGTACTACTTAGTTTTCTTTAAAAAAAAAAAAAAAAAATCAGTACCAGCATAGGGTGTAGTGGTTACACCGCTGGATTCCCACAGGCCAACCACGGTTCAAGTCCTGGACCTGGAGGCTTGAAACTCAACTGGGCATGTGAGAGTGTGTGCCCAAAATCCTGAGAGGAGAATGGAAAGAAGGGATTGCGGCGTGGCCATCCCCCCACGGGGTGATTTCTCGCTTTCTGTCTCTCTGTCTCTCTGGTGAGTACACATGCCCTATAGCAAAAATCTCTCTAAAAAAATGTATCATAAACAAAACTAAAGTCATCTCTGGCCATAGGCCTGATTGTGCGTCCCCTACCCCCATCTCACACCTGTCTCCTAGATAACAGAGGTAAGTTTCTGTGCTGACTTTCGAGATCTTAGAACTCTGGGAGGAGAAACAGGGTTCCCCTGCTGCTCCCCACTCATCCTTTCCAAGCACATCATCACCACGACTCCCCGGCATGGCACCTCCTGCTCTCCTTTCAAAGCGGGGCCTTGGCCCCACAGGCCTCTCCTATATTCAGCTCTTTTGCTGCATGGCAAATACCACACCCTGCGGCTTCAAACTGTGCCCATTTGTAAGAAAACAGTGCCGGAGCTCCCACGTCCAGCACGAGCTCTCCCACTCAGGGCACCACAAGGTTCAAAGAGTGGGCTGCGCTGATCTCTTGTCCTGAAGCTCTGAAGAACAACCTGCTTCTAACCTCATCTTGTTGTTAGCAGGATTTCATTCATTTTGGCAGAGACTACAGTTCAGCCATTTCTTGCCCTCAACCTCTGGAGGCCACCCACATTTCTTGCCAAGGACCCCTCCCATTTTTATGCTAGCAGTGGCATAGCAAATCTTCCTCATGATCTGAATCTCTGATGGCCTTTTCTGTGTCTGCCAGAGAGAACGCTCTACTATTAAAGGGCTGGTGGAGGTCCAGCAGTTGGCATAATGGCTATATCGCTGGAGTCTCATGTAGTCGACTGTGGTTCAAGTCCTGGACCCGGTGGCTTAAACTCACTCTGGGCACATGTGTGTGCATGCCCAAGATCCAGAGAGGAAAATGGAGAAGGGATTGCAGCGTGGCCGACCCCCCGGAGGGTGATTTCTGGCTTTCTGTCTCTCTGTCTCTGTTTTTCTAGCGAGTGGACATGCCCTGTAGCAAAAAACAACAACAACAACAACAAAAAAAAAAAACTAAAGAAGAAAATGAAAGGAAGGAAGGAAGGGCTGGTGGGATTGGGTCAGGCCCACCTAATAAGCTCCCAATTTATACCCAGAGCTCCCACAAAGCATAATCCCAGGGATAGGTCCCTCCTGGGCAGTCCCAGAGACCATGCGGGGCATGCACACCATGGGTGGAAAGCTCTGGGAGCCATCTAGAATGCACCCCCCCAGACCTCTGAGCTGCCATGGGCTCACCTCTGCCTCTCTCTCTGCAGAGGACGTCCTGGGCATGCAGGCCGCACGGCCCTGGGAGTTTTACCCCAGCAGCTCCTGCCGCACAGTGGTCTTCCCGCTGCTGACCTCAGGCTCTGCCTTCTGGTTGCTCAGGCTCTGGGAGCAGTGGGGGCTGCGGCCTGGCCTGGTGAGTGGCTACACGCTGCTGGTGGGGCCCCGACTCCTCCTCACCGCCCTCTCCTTTGCCCTGGATGGGGCTGTGTACCACCTGGCCCCACTGTGGGGGGCAGACCGCTGGAATGCTCTGGTCCTGCTATCTGGCTCCTATGTCACCCTGGTCTTCTACACAAGGACCTTCTCCAATGCCATCGAGGGACTGCTCTTCGCGTGGCTGCTGGTGCTGGTGTCTCCCCATGTACTGTGGAACCCCCCATCAAAGAAGCCTGCTCCTAGCCCATGGTGGCACAACTGGCTTCTGGGGGGCATCGTGGCAGCTGGCTTCTTCAACCGGCCCACATTTCTGGCCTTTGCTCTGGTGCCTCTCTTCGTCTGGGGCATTCACAGAGCCATAAACCCTGGCTTTAAGGCCCTGATCCAGGAGGCCCTGGGGCTGCTCCCAGGTGCGGCCCTCACAGCAGTGGTGTTTGTAGCCTCAGACAGCTGGTACTTCTCCAGCCCCTCTGGATCCAGGACCCTTGTCGTCACACCTGTCAACTTCTTGCACTACAACCTGGATCCCCAAAACCTGGCAAGGCATGGCACGCACATGAGACTCACTCACCTGGCGGTCAATGGCTTCCTGCTCTTTGGGGCGCTGCACGCCCAGGCCCTGCAGGCTGCATGGCAACAGCTGCAAGGCTGCCTCCAGGCCTTCGCACAGACAGGCCTCCTGCGAGCACTGGCTGACCGAGGCCCGCTGCCCAGCCCCAGGCTGTACCTTCTGCTCCTCTACTTCACACCCCTGGCCCTGCTATCTGCCTTTGAGCACCAGGAGGCGCGGTTCCTGATTCCCCTTTTGGTCCCCCTCATCCTGCTTTGTAGCCCACGGACCCAGCCTGTGCCCTGGAAGGGCACCATTGTCCTCTTCAATGTCCTGGGGGCCGTCTTCTTTGGCTGCCTGCATCAAGGGGGCCTGGTGCCTGGCCTAGGGTACCTGGAGCAGGTGGTCCATGCACCTGCGCCCCACAACGCGCCCACTCGCTACACCCTCGTCTTCACTCACACCTACATGCCCCCCCGGCACCTGCTTCATCTTCCAGGCCTGGGGTCACCTGTGGAGGTGGTAGACCTGGGAGGGACTGAGGACTGGGTCCTGTGCCGAGCCCTGAACGGCTTCATCAAACAGCCAGCTTGCCAAGCGGCCAGCGGACCACGGCTCTGCCGTCTCTTTGTGGTGACCCCTGGTACCACCAGGCACACCGTGGAGAAGTGCAGCTTCCCGCTCAAGAACGAGACGCTTCTATTTCCCCACTTGACCTTGGAGGACCCACCGGCCCTGTCCTCCCTGCTGAGCAGGGCGTGGAGGGCCCACCTCAGCCTTCACATCATTGAGCTGGCGGAGAAGCCTAGCGGTGTGATGTAGCCACTTCCCATGATCCAGCTGTGATGGTGCCACTCACCTTCTACATGGGTCGCTGGGCAAGGATGCTGGGGCAGAGCCCTTGTCCTCCTTCGTGGTCCCACTGCTGCCTCTCCTGCACACAGCTGTTGGCTGTTCTGCCTTCTAAGCAAGCTGGCACGCTTTTCCCTGAGACCAAAGATCTGACCAATCATGGTCCCGATGCCAAGGTCCCCAAAGAATCCTGGTGTAACTGAAGGCACCTGTCTGCTCTTGCCCTATTCCTTCCAGTCACTGTGATTTAAATATATAATAGCATCTAGCTGCAAAAAAAGATGACATGTTGCTGATGACATTCCTGAATGATCTCTCCCAAACTTCCCAGGATGCCCAACCTCTGTCATGACAACCCGTTGGCTTCCTAAGACCAGTCTGACATTCCAGGTATGCAGAAGAGAGTGATGAGGTAGAGAACTGGTGCTGGCTAGACCAGCCCGTCTCTGACCCACGTGCAGTGTGATCTCGGGAACACCCCCTCACTGGCCCAGCCATCTTCTTGTTCACAGTGCATCATAAATCTCGGAGGCAGCAGCTGCAGCTGCCAATGACCACATAATTCCCAGAGTCCACAGCTCATGTCCCCTGGCTCAACAGGCATGCCCCTCACAAAGCTCTTTAAGCACAGAAGTGGGAGCAGTGGTGTACTTAATGGCGACACTGTGGTGCACGTCTCTGTATTTGGCGATTACTAAACCAAACCATTCTGAATTTTCTCTCGCCCACTTTCTTCTACTTCTGTCCCTGAGAGGTGGTGGGAGACTTGTCCTCCAATTCTTACCTAGCCTTGAAGACTTCTCTCAGCTCAGGGAGCCCAGAGGTTCTCCCTTGTTAGCAATGCCATGTGTACTAGGCTCTCCACCTGCCCCAGTGGGAACAGAGACATGCAGAGGTCCTAGACTCTATCAGCCTGTCCCAATGGAGACAAAAAATACACAATGCTCAGTCAGCACCTAGTTACCAGCCTAAAAGCTTTTCCTGTGTCTTCGAGTTTTCTAGGTTGCATGATTAACTGAGTGGCCTAATTAGAAGTGACAGAAAATTGGCCTCTAATGACAGCACAGTTCTGTGTGTAATGGATCTCCCAATTATAGATCCATTAGCATGTCTTAACTTGTATCCCTGATCCTCTAAAATGGGGAGCAGGACTTCCACATGAGGCAGCAACAGTCCTTTTATTTTTTTCTCCAAATGCTAGAGAACTCTTGCACAAGAGAAGAAAGAGAAAAGAATCCCTCCTCGGGGCCTGGTCATGATACAATCCTTTTCCTTCCAGTTCTCCACTCCCTCAGGATACTAGGCATTCCTATGTGCCAAGCGTGTTTTTTGTTTTTTAAGCCACAGGGGGCTGGTACTCCAACCTTGGCTGGACACATGGGACCTGCCTCCTCTGCATAGCACTTAACTGCTACACTGGGGTAGAGGCAGGGGCTAGCCTGGCAGTAGTTTTAATACCTGGTGGTGGTGAAGAAAGGCAAGCATTGAAGGCCAGGGCAAAAGCTGCAGTTTTGATTAAGGACTTCCACTCTGGAATCAAATACCTATGTTCACATTCCACTCTGAGGCTTTGGACAACTTAAGAAGTATCCTTCCACTTCCTCTTATGAATGTGGTTGTAGAGTGAGATAACCCACAGTGTGCAATTAGCGAGTCCAGCACAGAGCAGATACACAGTATCTGTTAACTATTACTACCATGGGCCTAGAGCCCCCCGAGAAGTACCACACTCAGGCCTGTTAATAAGCTCACACGTTTAATCAGAGGATCTTGGCAGCCGCAGAGTTGCCTTTCCATCCATAATGTCCCTGGAATCAGTGCTCAGTTATACCACTGGAGAGTCAGCAGAATCTATCAAGTTTCAGTCCCATTTGCAGAGGGCAGGCTCTTTTTCTGGCTGTGGTTTGGTCCATGGCTTCAGTACCAGGACCAGCCTATTGGTATCTGTCCGGCTTCGGGGTCTTCCTCCACACTGTGGGCCCTGTCCAACCACAGGACTCCACTGAGGATGCTGGTTTGGCCTCCGCTCTAACGAGCGGGACGTCTGCAGTCCACCAACCTGAGTCAGGATTCCAAGCCGTACGCGGTGCCCAGGATGATTCCTCCAGGCCGAGACAGATGCAGAGTCCAGAAGGGAAAGGTGGTGACCTTGGACCGACCTAGGTCCGGATTAAGGGTTTGCGCCCGGGCCCCTCTGGCTACCTGGTGGTGGCCCCGGGCGGTCCCGGAGGCCGCGGCGCAGCTCCTGGGTGAAGGCGTCTAAGAATCGCGCCGCACGGCGGCCCAAGGAGCCCGCAGGCCCAGCCGCGAGACCCCGCAGGCGGCGGGCTGCGTCCTGGCCGCGCAACTGGGCCTGCAGCAGTGCGAAGGCAGTGAGCTGAGCGGCTCGCCGGATGGGCCGTGACTCGGACAGACGCTCCACCAGCTGCGGGCTGTGCAGCAGGGCAGCGAGAAGCCGCCGCAGAACCATCCTCGGGACGCCCGGAACCGTAGCACGCCGCTCCCGCCTTCCACTCGGCGACTCTTGACACTGGACCACAGCTGCGCCAGCGCCGCCTGATGACGACACTGCCGCGCTGGGATTGGGCCCGACGATTCTCATTTTCTGCCGCCTCCTCCATGCGTTTGCGTTTCCGCTTCCGCTGCCGCCACCGCCGCCTCCGCCTCGTTGAACTCGGGAGTTGGCAATTCGTCGTCCACTTCTTTGCGCTATGTCTGGTGGCCTCCTGAAGGCGCTGCGCAGCGACTCCTACGTGGAGCTGAGCCAGTACCGGGACCAACACTTCCGGGTGAGGGAGGCCGGGCCGCGAGAGGGGAAGGCTCTGGGCCAGAATGCTGAGAGACGGTTTGCTCTTGTCTCATTGTGTCGCCATCCCATTCTGTTGGTGTCCTGAAACGCGGAGTAGGGCCACAGTGCTGGGGAGGCAGGAATGGTTATCCCTGAAGCCACTGACCTCGCAGAATGTGAGGCTTACTTTCCCTTTCCCTCGTAGCGTCTGCTTGTACCCAGGCCATTGCAGAGAGGCCCCAACGACGGTGGCAGCCATGGTGACTCCGCTTCCCAAGGGCCGGGCTTCGGGAAAGTGACTATGTGATGAGGGGAAAGGTTTTGACCTTTTCACACCCACAGTATGTGGAGGCGCCTTCCCGACTTCGTGAAGGGCATTTTTCTTCTTTAAATCAGCTAAATGATGCCCCTTAACACTTCCTTTCCTTCTCTAGTAGGATGCTCCTATGCAGTGCTAAGCAGTGGATGGGAGGCACAAAGTTGGGTCCAGTTTGTCTTCAGGGAGGCCTTGGAATGTGAAGGTGCACCAGCAAGCCAGGCACCTTTAGGGTATCTCAATGTGAAGGTTAGAGAATTGCTTGTTTCCAGAAGAGAGGAATTTTAGTGTAGGCTATGTTATAGTATATCTTGTGGAAAAGGAAAAGGCTGTAGTTCTTCAAGGTGGGCTTTACAGTGTCAGCAAAGGCACATGTAAGATAGGATAGGGTGAGGTGACACTCATTAATCCACTTTTTTAGTACAGGTTTATTAGGTGCTTTTGACAAAGTCTTCTGCTGAGCCTTAGAGGGATAGGGAAGACAGTTCCTGCAGCCAATGAACTCATAATCCTGTTGTAAGGATTGTGCATAGAGGCAGTTAATCAAAAGCTGAAGCAGGAATAAATGAGTGGAAAGGGAGGGGCAGTGAGGATTAAAAAAAAAAAAATCCTGGGAAAGGAAGAGAGGTATATAGAGAACTGTGGAGAAATGTGTTGGGAGCAGGGGGTAAGGAAAAGGTAATTTTGTTTGAGGCCAAATTGAGGAAGCTCCTAAATTCATTCATTCAGTCAACTTTTTAAGAGAGAGATTTTTGTTATAGGGGGTGTGTGCTTGCTGGACAGACAGAGAGAAAGCTAGAAATCACCTCCCAAGGGACATGACCGTGCAGCAGTCCCTCGGGATTTGGGGCATGCACACACGTGCCCAGCATGAGGTTTGTTTTATTTATTTATTTTTTTGGAGAGGCTTTTGCTATAGGGTGCGTGCACTCACCAGAGAGAGAAAGACAGAGAGACAGAAAGCGAAAAATCACCCCCCAGGTGGATGGCCACGCCACAATCCTTTCTCCTCCATTCTCCTCTCAGGATCTTGGGCATGCATGCACACGCGCCCGGTATGAGTTTAAGCCACCGGGTCCAGGACTTGAACTGCAGTTGACTACATGGGAGTCCAGCGACATGGCTATTATGCCAAATGCCGGTCCCCTAGTGTGAGTTTTAAGCCCCCAGGTCCAGGACTCGAACCGCAGTCAACTACATGGAAGTCCAGCAATGAAACCATTACACCATCTGCTTAGCCAACAGTTTTTAAATGCATACTATTTGCCAGGCATCATTTATACTTTTACCCTCGAGACAGTTTCACATCATAACCATCTTGAAATTGAAGCATCCTGCAAGGTTAAAACTATGAAAAGATAACATTTTTGCTCTTACTCATCTCAGTGGTCTAAAGCCTATATTTTATTTGAATAATAGTACAGTACTGTCGTGAAATTTCTGGGGTTCTACAAGTACGATGCACATTAATATCATGCCTTAAATACTTATACCATAGTTGTCTCTAGCTATTTGGACATTACTCACATGTGTGAGAAAAGTGGAAAGAAATATGCCTCCTTTCTTTTTCTTTTCTTTTTGGAGAGGTTTTTTTGTTTTGTTTTGTTTTGTTTTTTGCTATAGGGGCATGCTCTCGCCAGAAAGACAGAGACAGAAAGTGAGAAATCACCCCCCAGGAGAGATGGCCACGCCGCAATCCCTTCTCCTCCATTCTCCTCTTGGGATCTTGGACATGCACGCACACACGTCCGGCGTGAGTTTAAGCCACCGGGTCCAGGACTCAAACCGTGGTCAACAACATGGGAGTCCAGTGACATAGCCATTACCCTAACTGCTGGTCCCAATAATGCCTCCTTTCTAAAATCACTAACAGTAGCAATACAAATACAAAGTGAATCTAATTTCTTTAAAGTCTCATTCCAAAGTTCTGAAAAACCTGCTGGTAATGTAAACCAACTTCTGTCCTGTGGACTTTTTTTTTTTTGCTTTCGGGCACATGCGCTCGCCAGACAGACAGACAGACAGAAAGCGAGAAATCACCCCCCCAGTGGGGATGGCCACGCCGCAGTCCCTTCTCCTCTGTTCTCCTTTCGGGATTTGGGCACACACGCACACGCGCCTGGCGTGAGTTTTAAGCCACCGGGTCCAGGACGTGAACCGCGGTCAACTACATGGGAGTCCAGCAACATAGCCATTATGCTAACTACTGGTCCCTGTCCTGTGGACTTTTTAAGGCAGTATAGAATTGGGGAAAAGACTGCGTTTAAATTCCAGCTATAGCCACTGAGTAGCTATGTGACTTTAGACAGGTTCCTTAATCGTCTTTTTTTGTGTGTAAAATAGGAATTTAAAAATTAGGACTTTCCTCATGTAGTTGTTTTGACAATTAAATGAGACAACATAGTAAGTCTGACCTGCATTCCCTTGGTTTTCTCAAGGCAGATATACTTACCAGCTCCTTGTATATAGTATCTGTGCTTGTTCATGTTTTTTTGTTTGCTTTAAAAAAAAAATTTTACTTGTGGTTTTCAGGCCTCTGGGTCTGGGACTTGAACCCTGGTTGGCCATGTGACAGTCTAGCACCTTAACCACCATACCACCTGCCAGCCCTTTGTTCATACTTCTAAAACTATAACTTGAAGCACATACCTTTCTTCGTCTTGTCCTCCATCTTAGGAATGTTTCAGATTGTAGATGTACAACAGATGGACATTTTTCTAGGCATTGTATAGCTCTATATAGACATGCTGCAAGTTAATCAGTTTCTTTCTGATGAGCATTAGATGGTGTCCCTATTTCTCCAATCTAAGCATTGACAGTGATCATTGAGACCTCTTACTATGAGCACTGTGCTACAAAGCATTTGGAGACAAATAATGCCAAGTCGTATATTCTCAGAGTGAAGGAAACTGGATCAGCATTATATTCAGAGTATTAAATAAAGAAAAGAGTTCTTGGGAAAGCGACCCGTAGTGCTAAGTATGAATCTACTCCCCTACTTCCCAAGCTGGATTATTGTGGTTGATGTCAGAGCCCTAGCCTTGGGCAGAAAGGCCTGAGAATAGATCGGCTGCTGGAACCTTCTGAAGGGCTGATTGACAGCCATAGTAGTTTATGTGAAGGCATCTAAAATACCTTTGTAAAGATGAGCCGTCCTCAGAGATTGCCAGGGAGGTTGCCTGAAGCCCAGTCACACTCCTGTATGTGTGTATGTCCAGAGTCCCAGGAGGAGAATGGAGGATGGGGGATTGCAGCATGGCCATCCCCCCATGGGGGAAGTTTCTCACTTTCCCTCTCACTTCCTTTCTCTGTCTTCTCCAGCAAATGCATGTGCCTCTGTGGCAAAAACTTTAAAAAAAGAAAGTGAGATTTCTTTTTAATGACCACTGCATTTTATCCTGAACTCCGAGAAAAGTGTGTGAACATATAAATCATCTAAGCAGTTGCTGCTTTGCACAGAAGCCACAGGACATTACAAAGGCAACTCTTATTTCTGAAAATCTTTTTTTTCCTACTACAGAAAATAAAAGAACAGTTTCTCATATGTTGGGTCAAGACTCAGAATTTAAACTTAGACCATTAGAGGGTGATTCTATGCTGAGGATAAGGAGTGAGCAGGGTAGAGGCACGGCACTTGTATGGCAGTCTGGTACAGAATAAGAAAGTTGAAAGCAGTATAAGTTTTGAGCTTTGTTCCCCATTAAATATAGTCTGGACCTTGGATAAGTGCTTCATAGAATGTAAACACCCCTCTTTTTGACAAGGGGTTTGTGGTGAGTTGGGATGACGAGAGGATTTGATTTCCAAATTGGAATTATGAACATCTGTACCATACTTAGGAATAGTATTTAAGCAAGGCTACTCTTGAGTTGTACTGTGTAATTTTCTATTTGAAATTTTAGGGTGACAATGAAGAACAAGAGAAATTACTAAAGAAAAGCTGTACGTTGTATGTTGGAAATCTTTCCTTTTACACAACAGAAGAACAAATCTATGAACTCTTCAGCAAAAGTGGTGACATAAAGAAAATCATTATGGGTCTGGATAAAATGAAGAAAACAGCATGTGGATTCTGTTTTGTGGAGTATCCTTCCTATGTGATGTAGCTTTTTTATTTTTTTTAATTATTTTAACTTTATTTATTTTTAATTTGACCAGAGAGGTATATATAGAGAGAGGGTGAGAGAGAGAGAGTGAGAAAGCAAGCTGCCAGGTCCGGGATTTGTACCGCAGTCAGCCATGTGGGAGTCCAGCACCTTAACCACCACGCCACCTACTGGCCCTGCTGTAACTTTTGAACCAGGGTAGAGCTAAGAGTGGTTGGTTACTTCTTCTTAAAAAATGAGGGTATCTGCTAATTACCACCCCTGTATTTGTTTCTGCCCCTTCATTTACCTCTTACCTCTGTCCAAGGTGTCTACACTCCTGCATTGTGAAAGCTGGTAAGGTTTATATTCTGTTCTGAAGTCCATGCTTTGTTTATGGTTGATTCTTTATGAATAACACTGTAAAGAATATGTGTCCCTGGGACCAGCAGTTAGTGTAATGACTGTCATTGGACTTCCATGTAGTCAAGTGCAGTTCGAGTCCTGGACCCAGTGGCTTAAACTCACACCGGGTGCTTGTGCGTGTGTGCCCAAGATCCCGAGAGGAGAATGGAGAAGGGGTTGTGGTGTGGCCATCCCCCTGGGGGGGGATTTCTCACTTTGTCTGCCTCTCTCTGTCTCTGGTGAGCACACACGCCTTGTAGCAAAAACCTCTCTTAAAAAAAAAGGATATGTGTCCCCTGAACCAACAGATGGTATAATGGTTATGTCATTGGACTCCCATGTAGTTAACCGTGGTTTGAGTCCCAGACCCAGCGACTTAAAACTCAGCCAGGCACGTGTGCGTGTGTGCATTAAGAATCCTGAGGAGAATGGAGGAGAAGGGATTGCAGTGTGGCCATCCCTCAGGGGGTGATTCCTCACTTTCTGTCTGTCTATTCGGTGAGTGCATATGCCCTATAGCAAAAATCTCTTATATTTTATTTATTTATTTATTCATTCATTCATTTATTTTATATAAATATATATATCCCCAGAAAGTCCAGAGTGTAGTGACATTAAGATCCTTATACTGGGGCCAGCAACTGGCATGGTGGTTTAGGTGCTGGACTCGCACATGGCTGACCACAGTTCAGGTCCTGGCCCTGGCAGCTTTAAAATCACACCGGGCACGTGTGTGTCTGGCCAAAATCCCAAAAGGAGAATGGAGGAGAGACTGTGGCATGGCCATCCCACTGGGAGTTGAATTTCCCCTCCTCTCTGTCTCTCCCACCAGTGAGTGCACACGCCCTATGGCACACACACGCAAGATCCCTGTACCATTCCAAATGCCCAGTTTCCTTCCCCAGAGACAGTCACCAGTCAGTTACCAGTTCCTGGATGTCGTTCCAGAAACAGCACTGTGGCTGTCTGGTAGCATAGTGTATACACTATTATTTTAGCCTATCTTAGACGTTGTTCCATGTCAGCACATGCTGTTCTATTTTTAAAATGGCTATATAGTATTTCATTATATAGACATAGATACATAGAGAAAGACCAAAACTGTATTTACATGTGACTTTCGTTTTTTTCTGGAAAGTATAAATATTGGGTCTCCTAGATTTCTTTGGGTCTTTTATTTTTTGATCATTTTATGTTCTGAGAAATTTCCCAGACCTGATTTAAAGTGTCATTTGGATTTTTTTCTGTCCTCTGGATTCAGTTTCTTTTGGTTATATTTATGCTGTTAATTTTCCTCAAATGTCTGTGATCCCTGGGTTTTCATTCATAATTAAGGAAAAGAAAGTTGACTCTTTGGACCCAGCCAAGGCTTCTCTCTCAAAGTTGCTGGCTTGCTTTTGGGATGTGTGGGTTTTCCGAACGCCAGAATGAAGAGATTTTATTTAGGCCTGCTAACAAAGACACTAGTTCTTCTAGACAGTTCATTTAAACCCTATCATTTTTTTTTTTATTTACCTGGGATTAAATGTTTCCCTGCTTGCAAGTTTTCCCATACAGACTTTTAATTAAAGGGAGACCAGCAGGTGGCATAGTGGTTAAGGCGCTGGATACTCCCACATGGCAGACCATGGTCAAATCCTGGACCTGGTGGTTTGCTTTCTCACTTCCCTCCCACCCTCTCCCTTTGTGTGTGTGTGTGTCTCCCTATGATCAAATTAAAATAAATGAATGAATAAATAAAACTAAGTAAATCTTTTTTTTTTTTTTGATAGAGAGAGAGAGGTTTTTGCTATAGGACACGTGCACTCGCCAGAAAGACAACAGAGAGACAGAGAAAGCGAGAAATCACCCCCCCCCCGGGGGGGAGGCCCCCCCCCCAACCCCTTCACTTCC